GAAGAGGGACTCAGATAAACATGTCCATTCTACTTCCACTAGGTCCAAAGGTAACCCCTAGCACCTAGGGCTCCAGTCTGGACTCTCACCTCGTTTTCCCTTGGGCTATATCAGCACAAGTTGCTGAAGTCTTGTCTCACCTCCATCTCTAAGCTGCTGCCTGCTCTGGCTCTTGGCTGCTGCAGTCATGTGTTGTGTCTGTGTTCAGGCTGCGAGTGAACACCTTCTGCAAAAGTCCACAGCATTCCTCTTCCTTTTGTAGAATTTCAGTGTGGCTTTCTCTCTAATTCTCACCTGAGCGTACACTCCCTATATTCCTTTTTGGTTTTTAAACTATGTATCCCTAGCCTAGTGTTGTGTCCGAATTTCCCAATCAATGCAAAAGCACAGGCCGGCACCGTGGCTCACTAGGCTAATCCTCCGCCTTGCGGCGCCAGCACACCGGGTTCTAGTCCCGGTCGGGGCGCCGGATTCTGTCCCGATTGCCCCTCTTCCAGGCCAGCTCTCTGCTGTGGCCAGGGAGTGCAGTGGAGGATGGCCCAAGTGCTTGGGCCCTGCACCCTATGGGAGACCAGGATAAGTACCTGGCTCCTGCCATTGGATCAGCGCGGTGCGCCCGCCGCAACAGCTATTGGAGGGTGAATCAACGGCAAAGGAAGACCTTTCTCTCTGTCTCTCTCTCTCTCACTGTCCACTCTGCCTGGCAAAAAATAAATTAAAAAAAAAAAAAAGTCCAGTCGCGGATGTAAAAGCAGAGGTTTATCTGTCACCAGCCGGCTGGGACTCCCTACCCACACACAGCCATTTAGCAGTACACAGGCAAAAGGCCCCCTCGTTTGCTTAAGAGAGGTTTTTATAGCCTCACACTTACAAGGGTGCAGGTCATCTCCTACGTAAGCTGCCTTCTTATTCTCTATATGGCAAGGTATTGGGACCTAACATGTTCATTGGTTTATTTAAACGTAAAGGCTATATATGTTATGTGGCGGGAAGGCCACACAAAGGAGATGGCACGGGGAGGCACTGGTGGGAAGCACTGGGCCATAAATCCCAGGGGAGTTGGTGGGGAGCAGGAGGTCATAAATCCCAGGGGAGCATAGCAGGCAAGCAAGCAGCCGGAGTACAGAAGCGGAGCCAGCATTTAGCAAGCTAGGGATGCCAACGCCTACACTATAGCACAGTACATCATTCCCTCTTCTGCCACCTTGGAATCTCATTTCAAACAGATATGTTAATTTTGGAAAGAAAGTAAAAAAAGCAGGGACAGAAGTTTTTTTTTTTTTTTTAATTTTTCTTTATTTGAAAGAGAGAAAGAGAGAGAGAGAGAGGTCTTCCATTCGCCTGTTCTCTCCCTGCATGCCTACAGCATCCAGGACTAAGCCAGACTGAAGTCAGGAGCACACAGCTCAGTCCAGGTCTCCATATTGCTGGCAGAGACCCAGTTCCTTACGTCACCATCACCACTGCTGCCTCCCAGGATGCACATTATTAGGAAGCCTGAGTCAGGAGAAAGGGCAAGACTGAAACCCAGTCTTACTCACTGTGCCACGATCTGCCTTAGGGAGTCTTGTAGGTAAAACAACAACAAAATGATCTTTCACCAGCTGGTACTCATTTCATACAACAGTGAAATGAGCAATTTATAGAAGCTGAAAATAAAATATGTTAAGAACAGTTTTCCCTTAATTATGTGCCAGAAAATACAACTATGTATTTATAATCATCTTTTGATAAACTAAAAGGAACAAATATTTTCTATAAAAATCTCTCTGTATAAGCTCTTAGGATTATTTTTTATTTTTCTTTCATTCCCCAAATAACAAAAAGTGACCCAAATCTTTCTTCCACTCAACTGGTCTCAGATATTTGAACCAAACTCATATCTTTGACAGAAAATTATGAATAAGTTTGTATACATTTAAAATGGTTTTGCTTCAAATACAAAAATTAATGTGGTGACATTGATTATTGTAAATTCACAGAACTTTATGCAATAATAATGCAACTAAGTATTTCCCACAAATTTGGAATATAATAAAATTATAATTACATATGCTATGTCATAGCTAAATGCTGAACACAATGAGGGTATAACAATTTTAAAACTGTGTTAATTAAGACTTCTGATCCCAAATCTAATAGGATTCCTCCTTGATCTGAAGTTTAATATATGAAAAGCTGTTTGCTTAGTCTGAAAAATGTGTAATGCAAGAAATCTATACATTTCTATTTAATCACAAAACAACTTTTCTTTTATAGGCTTTTGTAAAAAAATATTCATAAACATGAGGCAAGCCTTTGGTGGAGCAGTTAAAACTCCAGTGGAGATAGCTTCATTGCCTATTAGAGAGCCTGAGTTCGAGTTTCAGCTTCCTGCTAATGCACATCTTGGGAGGCAATGGTGGTGATTTTTTTTTTTTTTTTTTTGACAGGCAGAGTGGACAGTGAGAGAGAGAGAGGCAGAGAGAAAGGTCTTCCTTTGCCGTTGGTTCACCCTCCAATGGCCGCCACGGCCGGCGCACTGCAGCCGGCATCCTGCGCTGATCCGATGGCAGGAGCCAGGTACTTATCCTGGTCTTCCATGAGGTGCAGGGCCCAAGGACTTGGGCCATCCTCCACTGCACTCCCTGGCCACAGCAGAGAGCTGGCCTGGAAGAGGGGCAATCGGGACAGAATCCAGCGCCCCGACTGGGACTAGAACCCGGTGTGCTAGCGCCGCAAGGCGGAGGATTAGCCTAGTGAGCCACGGCGCAGGCAATGGTGGTGATTTAAGTAGCTGTGTCTCCAGCACCCATATGGGAGATCTGGATTGAATTCCCAGATACAGGCTTCAGCCTGGTCCACCTTCCCTTCTTGCACCCCTTTGCCCCTACTTCCAGTTTAAAATTTTTAAATTTAGAAATCAATCCATAAATGAAACAACAAAAGCCAAATTTAAGTATTTTTTCAATGTGAAAATTAACTCAAGTGGAGGTTTGCTCATATTAGTTTTCTATTTCTGTATTACAAATTACTTAGCTTGGCCGGTGCCACAGCTCACTTGGCTAATCCTCCACCTGTGGTGCCGGCACCCCGGGTTCTAGTCCCGGTTGCTCCTCTTTCAGTCCAGCTCTCTGCTGTGGCTTGGGGAGGCAGTGGAGGATGGTCCAAGTGCTTGGGCCCTGCACCCGCATGGGAGACCAGGAGGAGGCACCGGGCTCCTGGCTTTGGATTGGCAAAGCAAGCTGGCCGTGGCAGCCGTTTTGGGGGTGAACCAATGGAAAAGGAATACCTTTCTCTCTCTCTCTCTCTCACTGTCCACTCTGCCTGTCAAAAAAATTACTTAGCTCGGAGTTTCTGTGTGCAGGCACAGTTTAACTGGATCTTCTGTAGAGGATTCTGTAAGTCTGTATTCAAGATGTCAGTCAGAGCTGCATTTCCTATTTCCTTCTGGAGGCTTAATTGGGAAAGAATTGACTTCCAAGCTATGATAGAGAGCCTTGAATTCTCACTGGCCAGCTTCAGCCCCTGGAGGTCATTTGCAGTTCCTTGTCAAGACATCTTCCTCAGTAGGAGTTCACACCATGGCCATTTACTTATTCAAGACGAACAGGGTAATGGGATAGATTGCTAGCAAGACAGTTTTATACAATGTATTCAATCATGAAATGACATCCTGTTGGCCACAGCCTATGCATCAGAGGGAGGGGATTATACAAGGCATGAAGATCAAAATACTAGAACCATTGGTGTTACCTAAAGGCCTGTCTGCTATTGCTATTAGCAAAATCTCATAGATTTCCATATTAATCAGGTTTATAAAATAAAAATTACTATATGGAGAGATCATATGATATAATGCTGTCTCTCCATATTTTTTCTTTCAATTCATGCTAGTGACTCTACTGTTAAATGTAAGAGCTGACCTTACTTGTTTAGTCTCTTGATGATAGACAGTCTCAGATGATAGACAGTGGGTGGAGGAATACTTTCAGAGTACACTCATTTATGAGTGTGATAACCACCAATTTTTAGGATCTTCATGTTTCCCTCTAGCCCTACTCCCTTGGGAAGTTTCAACCTACACTGACTTTATCCTTGGCTATGTAACTTGCTTTGCCAAATTCACAGTAGCAAACATGTCATGAGCAGAGGCTTGAATGGTGATTAAGCATTGGAGCCTACTTTGTCCCCATACTTGAATCCTATAATCTCCATGGCAATATACCTGGACTAGCCCAAGAGGTGATAAGAGACTCAAAACCTACTGACTCCCATGGCCCCACTCAATAGTCAGTCAACCTGTTACAGCATATGTTCCCACCTGGCCAGGAGCTAACAACTGAGTGGTACAAGAGAAGGTCCAGGCTAGATCATCCTGAAACTTCTTGCTGAGCTCAATCCTAATTGATGAGCAACACAATTATGAACAACAACAAAAAAAAGTTGTTTAAAACCATTAGGTATTGTTTTCTATCAGTTATTTAATTAGATTCTTCCTAAGAAATTCAGAGGATTGTGAGGGGAAATGTCACTTGTTAGAACCGGAAAAGGTTGCAGGTAGCCCAAGAGCTGAGGAATAGCTCTGATTTTTGGTAAAATGTGCCAGTCCACAGCTTTCTGATCAACCTTGCACTGCTCTGTAATCTTCAGTTTCTCTTTCTCCATGGGGAAGATCTCACCATGGTCCCACTCAATAGCTTCCTCAGCCACTGGCAGAAGGGCTTTTTGCCATGGCTCAACAGCTCTTGAGGCCCATCTTCAATGGGATAATATCTAGGCATTTTACAAAGCTTACCCATCACGGTGCCATCATTGTTGTCACCACCAACTAGTTTTATGATAGTTTCAAGAACATTTTCCTTTTATTTAGGAGCTAAGTACTTCCTCTTATGCATGGCATTGATGTAATACCTAACAGATCAGGAGTTACTGTCCATTCCTCTCCCTAAGACAGGGCTTCAGCAGCAGTGGAGCTACCCCTTCTTGGGCTTTTTGTCTTTGAGGTTATTCTTTCTAACCTTGCCTTGTTGTCTGCCTTCTTGCCCGGAGGTGGCTTCTTAGTGTCCAGTTTCGGAGCTGGAGCTTTTTCACCCACCATCTTGCCAGATGGGGAAGATGTCTGTTAAGTGGCAACAGATAGTCAATAAGTATGCTTATCAATTATACCCAATATCCATGTATACATATATATGTACATGTATACATGTGTGTATAAAATCTAAAGTTCATATATATTACTAGATATCTGCTATATTTTAGAAGGAAGCTATAAATTGTTTTTGTATTTTAAAAAAAATTTTTCAAACATTTACTGGGGCTAGTGTTGTGGCAGTTATCAATGCCATTGCTTGGGAAACTGGCATCCCATATGGGCATCAGTTCTAGTTCAGGCTGCTCCACTTCTGATCCGGATCCTTGCTAATGCACCTGAGAAAGCAGTGGCAGATGGCCCAAGTACATGGGCCCTTGTACTCATATGGAGACCTAGATGAAGCTCCTGGCTCTTGCTTTTGGCCTAGCTCTGCCCTGAACCATGGTGGCCATTTGTGGAGAGTAAATAAGCAAATGGAAGATTCTCTCTCTCTCTCTTTCTCTCTCTCTCTCTCTCTCTCTCTCCTAACTGCCTTGCAAATAAATAAATCAATCTTTAAAAATATGCATTTATGAGAAAGGCAGAGAGACAGAGGGAGAGAGTAGAGACAGACAAGAAGGGATACATTCCATTATTTGGTTTTCTCTCTCCAAATGTGATAACACATGTGGCTGGGCCATGCCAAAGCCAGGAGTCCAAAATTCAATCCAAGTATCCCACGTGGGTGGCAGGGACCCCAGTACCTAGCCAGTTGCTACTGCCCCTCAGAGTGTGTATTAGCAGAAAGCTGGAATTGGAGGTAGAGTGAGACTGTAACCCAGACAGTCTGATATGGGATATGAGTGACCCACAAAGTAGTATAACCATTATACCAAGTGCCCAGCCCCTCTTTGTATATTTCTTAATTATAAATTCCTTCTTTTCTTTTTTAGCAACGTAACGACTGTTAAAAGTAAGCCCAGCAGATACCATTACTGAACAATGGAATATTTTGTACACATTTTAAAAATTAAACTATTTGCTCTTTTCCCCCAAGAAAAAGTTGCTATTTCTTGATCTCAGTGAGGAAGTTTGTAATCAATGAGTTCCAAAAAGAATTACATTACTTCAGCCATTTTTAGTAACCAGGACACTACAGCTGCATTTATACTGTATGAGAAAACAAAATTTAATTAGCTATATTGTAGAAGTGGACACAGATGGAGATATTAAAAAATGCGCACATCAAAGAAAGAAAACTTGCTGGGATGTTGTATTTATAAGAAAAGGAACAAATATCCATGTCTTTTCTCTGCCAGAAAGGAATTGCTAATTTTTTCTTTTACATTGGTTGACTAATAGCAGAGGTTTGTGGGACATTTTTGAAGCATGTTCTCAAAATAGAACAGATGATTTAGAACATTTACATATCATAGAAGCACCATTTTACACCAATCAAATAACTTTAGGGGTTAAATAAATTAACATTCTAAATTTAAAATCTTTAATTTTAATGTAATTGTTAGCTGTATCTCTCTGTGTATTCATCAATACAATATTTGGTTGAATAAGGAAAATGTAATTAATAGTCTATACGTTTAGATGCAAAGTGCATAAATATAATGACTATCACATGAACAGTTAAGAATAATATTTGTTTTCATAACACCTTCCAAATAAAGGAAAAAGTACTTAAAATATACTCTATTTTGCAATAATCATCAAATTCAAAATATTCTGTTCCTTAAGTACTCTTTGATATACTTTTACCTTCCTAGCTTGCTGCCACTAACCTAGCTCTGATCCTCTTAGCTCTTTTGCTTGGATTATTGCCTTGGCTTCTTAAATTATCTCCTTTCTTCAAACCTTGCTATTTTCTGACCTTTGGACATCACAGGTCAGCAATACATAATTAGCAGCACTTACTTATATACACTACTCTGTCTCTTCATCCCATGCTTATGTATGTGAATATCCTTTATATTTATTTACTTTATGGACATCTATCATCTTCAACAATTTAGCCTAGATATTTTTCCCAATTTCTCTCTTCATTTGTATCTTCTCTGTATTTTTATATTTGTACATTGCATTAATTTTTACTGTGATGTGTAGAGCTTTATTTCAATATTATTTTCATAATTTTATATCTTAAATATGTATCTATTGATATAGCCAATAAACAATGCAGAGTTACTTGGCTTTTTTTTTTTTTGTATTTGTCAGTGATCAGAGACTGTAGATTCCTTGAGAAAAACTTTGTTTTACTTATCATTTTTCTTAGTCACTAGCACTTAAAACATTCTCTGGCAATAAGAAAATACTAAAGAAATATTTGTTAGATGGTTTCTGGTGGAAGAACAAACAAAAAACCTGGCTATACAATCTGAATACTTTGAAGTTTATGTAAGCAGAATGTTTTCAAGGAAGAAACAACATGAAGTGAACAAGTAGCAAAGATTCATCTGAAAACATGACCTAAGCATGATACACACCCTAAGGAATGCAATTCTCATGAGTAAAAGAATTTTTTTAAAGATTTATTTATTTATTTGAAAGTCAGAGTTACACAGAGAGAGGAGAGGCAGAGAGAGAAAGAGAGAGAGAGAGGTCCTCCAACTGATGGTTAACTCCCCAGATGGCTGCAATGGCCGGAGCTGTGCTGATCCAAAGCCAGGAGCCAGGAGCCAGGAGCTTCTTCCTGGTCTCCCCCATGGGTGCAGGGGCCCAAGCACTTAGGCCATCTTTTACTACTTTCCCAGGCCATAGCAGAGAGCTGGACAGGAAGTGGAGCAGCTGGGTCTTGAACCAGCGCCCATATGGGATGCGGGCGCTTCAGGCCAGGGTGTTAACCTACTGTGCCACAGCGCTGGCCCCATCCATGAGTGAAAGAATTTTTTAAGACATAAAATAAAGTTCAACCTATCTTTGTCACTGGTTTTAAAGCCTAGTGATGGTAACATATCTAGATATAGTTTCAGCGTAGACATTAACTTATTCCATATCAGAGTGCCTGGGTTGAGTCCTGGATATGATTCAGATTCCAGCTTCCTGTTAGTGCACAACCTGGGAAGCCGCAGAATGTGGTCCGAACACTTGGATTGCTGCTTCACCTGTGGGAAACCTGAATTGAGCTGCAAGCTGCCTGCTTCAGTCTGCCCCAGCTGAGCACTGAGGGCATTTGGGAGTGAACCAGCAGACAGCGAATCTCTCTCTCTTTTTCTCTCTCTCTCTTATCCCCTTACATATATACATACATAAATTTAGTATCTTTCAGTCCAATATTTCCTTTTTTAAATTAATGAAGTAAGAAGAAATTCATGTGTAATTTACCTATTCTTACTAGCTTTAAATTTTTGTTATATCCTTTCTAGAATGTTACATAAAAATCAAATTATTCCACTTAGGATTCTGAAAGGTGTTGAGTAGGAAGAAATAGGAATCTGTTTTCCAAGTTCTACAAGCATTGCACCGGCAGATTCTTTCTGAAGTAGCTATTTGGAACTCTTAAGTCTATTAAAAAGCTTGCAAATTCCATAGAAAGATTTAGTAAATTATGGTTAATTTTGAGCAGTTTAAACTCATCATAGTTGCAATTGTTTACCCTTTACCCCCAGCTCCATGTTATCTGTTCCTGGAGTAGCTTTTAGGAGTCAGGGTGTACAAGAGCTTTCCCTATCCTCAAAATACCATGAACGTATGCTCTCATTACTAATGGCTGCTTCTCATCACAGAGATGAAGACAACGAGTCACATCTATGGCTATAAGACCCTCTCCTCGGGTTGAACAGACTTCCAGAAGATTGAAATCAGTGACACCCTCTCTTCCTTTTTCTTGTTTTAAGAGCCAGACATTAAAGACTAGTACCTTCAAAAGTAATCTCATATAAAAGGGAAATTAGAAAGTCAATGCACACACACAAAGAAAAGTGAAAGTTCAGAAAAGATCTGAAAAAGATATTGAGTTCACACCCCAGACTTATCCTCAGCATATGGACAGAGAAGATCAATCAATAAACAAAAAACAACAGCAAAACCAAAGTATTGATGGTGAATATGGGGGAGGATCTAATAACCAGAGATAGTCATATTTGATTCAGAATTCCAGTTTTCAACAAAACAAGATCTCAAAGCATAGAGAGGAATAGGAATTTATGGTCCACTCAAAGAAAAAAAAATATTCACCAAAAGAAATCCCTAAAATAAGATTTTATGGCAAATATATTAGATTTTTAAAAACATTATTGTAAATGATTCTCAAAGAACTAAATGAAAAGATAGAGAAAATCAAAAAAACAATTTACAAACAAAATTTGATTATTGATAGAGAAGCAGAAAATCTAAAAAGAAACCAAGTGAAATTCTGTAGCTGTACATTTCAGTAATTAAAATGAAAAATTCGCCGGCGCCACGGGTCACTAGGCTAATCCTCCGCCTTGCAGCGCCGGCACACCGGATTCTAGTCCCCACCGAGGCACCGGATTCTGTCCCAGTTGCCCCTCTTCCAGGCCAGCTCTCTGCTGTGGCCAGGGAGTGCAGTGGAGGATGGCCCAAGTCCTTGGGCCCTGCACCCCATGGGAGACCAGGATAAGGACCTGGCTCCTGCCATCGGATCAGCGCGGTGCGCCGGCTGCAGTGCGCCAGCCGCGGCGGCCATTGGAGGGTGAACCAATGGCAAAGGAAGACCTTACTCTCTCTGTCTCTCTCTCTCACTGTCCACTCTGCCTGTCAAAAAAAAAAAAAAAAAAAAAAAAAGAAAGAAAGAAAGAAAAACTCATCAGAGAGGATTCAAAATCATATATGAGCAGACTGAGGAGTCAGCATTTGATGGAAATAATCAAGTCTGAAGAACACTGAAGAAAGAACATTGAAGAAAAGTGAACAGACTAAGGACCTATATTTTAAATTAATGAATCTTATGTGAGTTATATCTCAATGTAGCTATTTTAATTAATTGAGCAACTTCAAATCCAGATCAATATTATACCATAAGAATTTCAAGAACTCAATTAATATTATACTTTTTAAAAATTAAGGATGATACACTG